AAGATAGCGATGAGAGTTTGGAGAGGTTTCTAGAAAAAGTTTTAGTGTTCAAGAAATGAATTATTGAAAGCCGAAACTGAAATTGCCATTCCAAACTTTGAATTGAATTCAAGAAAAGAGAATAAAAATATATGTTTATTTGTTTGTTTGGTTGGATAGCGAGTGATGTCGAGTTGAAAGGGAGAGGAGGCCTATTGTTTTACGAGTACACTTGGCCCAGCCGAAAAAATAACGAAGTAACTTTCTACACGGATTTATTATGTGTACCTATACCCGCAAAATTACCTGAGTACCAGCCCCGCAGGTACAGGTCCCTTTTTGCAAGTCAACTCATGATTACTCCCCTACAAAACCCCCAAAGTTCCCAAGTCACTCCACCCACCAATCGCTGGCAATCAAAAGCTAGGATTTCACCCTTTCATGGCCAATTCCAATGATTCAAACAACTAAACTTAATTGGAAACCACCTCCCGACTCATCGTCATCAACCTTCAAAACCCTAATTCATGTTTGCTCGCCAAACACCAACTGAAAGTCACCTTGAAAATGAATTTTGATTCACTCACTTTCCCCACAAATTGGTTTGACGATGGTTTTCTACAATAGCCCGGTCCAACCATAGGTCATACTGGGTGAACTAAGGCCCTTGGTTTTAAGGTTGGCTGAGCCCGACTTTGTGACCGGTTCCCGATTGAACTATTAAATCGACTGGGCCAAACCATTTTAAAACATGCATTCAATCATATTCTTACACGTTACTTTCTATAAAAAATTGTGTACAAACTTAATAATAGTAATTATGTCATTTAACAAACATTATATCGATAAGATTTTCTTCAAACTGAATTAATATCATAAATACAGTATTATCTTTTTAACGGTTGGTATGGGAAATAAGCCATCCAAATGAAACGTTAAAAGAGGAACAATATTAGAGTGAGGTAATCATCATAAGCAGCTTTTGCTTTTTCTCTTTAAAATAAAATAAAATTGGAGAAAAACATTGGTACATTCACAAAGGACCACAGGAATTGATGCCACTTCATTAATATCGTCAAACGAAATATTCTAGGAGTTTATCAGTTACAAGCTTACAAGTTACAACAATACAATTTTTTTTGCCTTTTTCCTTTTTTATAGAAGGTCTATATACAGCATTTATTTCACATTAAAAAATTTGGTACAGACACCACATCCTTCACCTCTTTTATTCTTTGAATTCTTTAACCGAGCAGGTTATATGAAAACTATATTGAATGATTCATTTCATCCTCCCAATCCAAAATGTATTGAAAGAGAGAGAAGAGAAGCGAAGTATCAACTTACCAGCTTTCTTAGCCTTTTCTCAGCAAGATTAGCCACTTATTCTGTGGTTCAAGAACAAGAGCATGCTTGAAATCTGCAAATATTAAGAAAAAAATTATGACTTGATGTAGTGATGACAAACAGTGCTTGTATTCGATTGCTGCGTATGTGTGGCATTTGGGTGTGTGGAAAATTGTGCCCAGATGGATGCACTTGAGAAATCCGGGCATACAGGCATGGCTTTAATAATCAATATATTCTATTTATATAAACCTAAGGGGCCCTGTAATCTCAGAGATAAACACAACATACTTGGCACTGCATTACATCGTTAATGAATGTCTTGGATTAATTTCCTTATACCACTTTGCTTCTCAGTCAAACTTTCGCTAGCAGGATCGTCAGGCTTCTTAGTGCCATTGAATCAAACCCTAATATGTCATTGTCTTGAGCAAATGGATTGAACTTGTAAAGATGTAGCACTTCAGAAATCTCAAGAGAACCCCATATTCATATAAAGGCTTGAAAAGAAAAAAAGCAAAGGCAAGCAGAAAAGTAACCTTAGTTGCCTATATCTTTAGATAATCCTGAAATCCTTTTCCAAGTAGAGCCCCACCAAACCCCATAATATTTGCGAAGTAAGAATGATAGCTTTGGTCTGTAGGTGACAAGACGGATTCGGACCCCACCTTGTGGGAGCAACCACACACTTCAACTATCAACTAACCTTGCAAAGGAATTTGTGACCAATAAAATGAAAGAAAAATACAAGAGGCGCAATGTTTTATTTTGATAACTCTGGCAACGAGGAAAAAAGTAAAATCCAATATTTAGAATTAAAAATTAGAATTTAATAATTTAAGAGCAGGATTAATAGATGACTCATAAGATTTACATCAAATTCAAGTTTCCATAACTTAGAGGACCTCCATTGAGGTAAAAGTAGAAGCACCATGTCATTAATATACCCAACAAAAAGACCCAAAACCATAGTTATAAATAGTGGACTTCAATTGGAATAGAAAGCCCATCCATGGAACATTTGGTCTACAGGTTAACAAAGGACAAAAATTTGACAAATTTTCCTGTGATTGGGGTTATTTTATGCATACTAAGCCACCGGCAGAAGTCTCCTCATCCTGTCATATAAGACAGTTTAAACTATGCCACTTGAACACTTACCTAGGAGTAAGAACCAAGCAAAGCTCCATACCCATTATGAAAGCCCACAAACAGACCAAATCTCCAACAGCCAGCCCACACACTGGCGGTCCACACTCCTAAAATAGCTCGGTACTTGAGAGCTCAAGCTCTATAAATCCACAGGGATTGCCAAGACTAAGATACACTAAACTAGTTAAAAAACACTCCATTCACTTGCTCATTTTTGTCATTTACCGACCCTTATTAAACTTGAGCATATAGAGGCCATACAGTGATCCCACATGCCCTTCCCCTGTAGTTTGTTTTATATTTAAGATTAAAGCAAAACAAGATTCTCAGCTATCGACACAGTATAACTTTTGCAACAAACATTGAGATATGCTAAAAAAAACAATAGTTCTCAACAATATTAGAGAACAAATATTGTATTATAACAAGTAGAAGCTTTCTCACCTTGAGAAGCCTCTTTATAGTGGAGAAGTTCCTCCTTGCCTTCCACGTCTCAATATCCTCACATCTGCCAAATGTAACAGAAATTTTAGGTTCATATTAATCAATATCTACAACATTTCAGTGCAAATGCACACATATTTCACATTCGCTCTGTCCCAAAATCTAGAAAGTAACAAATAGTTGTTCACTGATAACCATCAATATAAACTTGAGTCCAGATTCATTCTATGCAGCACATATCAGATACAAAGATTAAAACAAACGAAATCCATAATTTCAAAATACCATTTAGCCCATGTCCATAAAGCGTGAATGCATTAAAATCCACAAGCATTACGTGTATATTAACTTTTTATTCAATAAAGAGCTAAAACAACATTGGGCAGCTACATAAGTTAAATATTAAATATGACCATATAACTGATCTCGGTAAAGATATATTTTCCCTTTAATATTTCTTTAACATTGAGCGGACAGATTTCGGGTAAAAGTTAAAATTATGGATAAACACTAAATTTACAAGGCTAATGTCGTAAATGCAGCTTTTGTTGGAGCAGAAAAGGTGATGGTATGAGATGTATTATAAACACTCAAATGCCTGCAAGAAGTTCTGCTCATGAAATCATAGCAAGAAAAATGTGTCCTTCGTCCTCCTTTTACCACTTCTCTTCAGGCTCAAATCATCTAGCCAAAGAAACAAATAACCTTAAGATGCAGATAGAGCTTTATTGAGATTGATGCCCAATATAACTTAAATTTATGTAGGAGTTATTTGTTTCAGTACTAATTTAGAATTGAATAATACTACACATACATCATTCTCATACAACATTATGTGGCAAGATATGATTGGGTGAAAGTTTAATTTAACTTTAAATTAGCCAATCTAACTTCCACATAATGTTGTATGAGAAATGTTGTATGAAAATGATGTATGTGTAGTATACTCTTAGAATTTCTCATTTAAGTTGTACTAGGATACTTAAGTGTGTTGATTAGGTTTTACTTAGAATATGTGTTTGTTGACTTTTATATTTGATATGGCTTTTAGAAATATACCTGATTGTTTTCGCTCTATCTCCCTTCTTCACATCAAAATGTCTTTCCTCTCAACTCTCTCTGCAATTCTCCACATAATAAATCGTCAATTTATATCCCTTTTTTTTCTCATCTCACCCTCTTTCTTCCTTTCTTCTCTCTTGTTTCTCCTACCTATGCAGCCATCAGAGATTCACCAATTTGGCATTAAAGCCACATACTATTTTGGCTCCAAATTTCCGTCTAATGCCACATAATTCCATACTGCCAAAGCCTTCTTTATAAATCATAGACTTGTACTCACACACGTGTGTGGAGGGAAAGGAAGAGAAAACATCCACAGAAAAGCATAGTGTGTTCTTAACCTATTTAATTCTAAGAAACCTAGAACACTCTATCCACAATAAAAATAAACATTAAGTTAAGCTTCAACACCAACAAAAACAATAATGGTTGTAAACATAATGACAACAATACACATTGCAGAATGATGAGCAACCAATAAAGATGTGTACCACAGGAAGCGTGGGGATAGAAGTAAGGAACCGGGCCAAATATTTGCAAGGTTGGAAGTTAGGATTTTGTTTGTTTGTTTTAAAGGAATATTGGTTGGGACAGATGGCAGGTATGGTGGAAGGTGTGAATCAGTTAGAGTAAAGGGTGACGGAGAGAATAAAAGGAGGAGGAGTGAAATAAGAAAAAGGCAGAGAAATTAAAATATTGAAAAGGAGTGCTGACCCTCGAAGTTAGTATTTGGGAGTGACTGACCCTCGAAGTCAGTCTTTTGATTTCTTTTTCAGATTGTATTTTGCTTACTTTTTCTGAGTTGTTTGCTTACTAAACTGAGGATAGGAGTGTTGGAATCTAAGTAGTGTCTGGCCATACTGTTTTTTTTGAGGTTAATACACAGGATCCTATTACTATTTTGGTGAATTTGACTTGTGAGTGCAGATTGTTTGTTGGTAGTTTGCTTGAATTGCAGCTCAGGTCCTATCAAGTGTTATCAGAGCCTTGAGATCTGGGTAATGGTCTTGACAAGAATGGATTCTAGACTTGATAATGTTGAGAAAGAGGTTACCAAGTTGGGAGTTGAAATGGGTACCATCCGGGAGTGTTTGGTGGAGTTACAATCATGGGTACGACGAAAGAATGAAGAAGAGTCGAGTAGAACAGAGGGACGTTCAACAAAAAATATTCAATCTCACAACGACGAAAATATAAACGGAGCCAGTGGGTCAGGGAGTAGTAACCAAAACCGCAGTGAAATAGGAGGGAGAAAGTTGGAGATGCCAATCTTCTCCGACGAAGACCCTTATGGGTGGATCTTTAGAGTAGAGCGGTACTTCAACATCAATGGCATCTCGGAAGAAGGAAAGCTGACGGCAGCTACTGTCTGCATGGAGGGAGAAGCTATCAATTGGTTCCAGTGGACAGAATCCAAAACACCAGCAAGCTCATGGGCTATGTTGAAATTAGCACTACTTCAGAGATTCAATGGATCCCAAGAACTCAACCCCTATGAATCCCTAATGGCGATGAAGCAAACTGGGTCAGTGGTAGATTTCCGTCGTCAATTTGAAGCAGTAGCAGCTCTGTTGGTAGGAGAGAAAGAAGAGATCCTACAAGCTGCGTTTATAAATGGACTAAAAACAGAAATTAGAGCTGAGGTTAGGTTGGCCCAACCAAACTCTTTAATTCAGATTATTGAACTGGCCCAAAGAATTGAAGAAAAAAACCAAGCCTTAGAAGAGGCCCAAGTGGGGGTAAACCGGGTTTCACGCACAAGTGGGCCTGGGTTTTCATATGGATCCAGGAGTATAACCCATTTTGATAACCATAACCCGACCCAGTTCAATATTAGCCCAAAATTTCCCAATTCGACAGTTTCGACAGAATCCCTAAAAGCTAACCCAAATACTTTCTCCCATGTTACTCAACGGCCACTGGAATCTTCCATGCAAGGGTCGACGGCGAACTCTTACCCACGCGAACCAACGACAACGAGCTCCAGGCCATTCGAACGACACGGGTTTCCACGACGAGACTTACCTTTTCTTCGGATGACAGATGCCGAGATCCAGATGAAGCGAGAGAAGGAAATATGTTTTAAGTGTGATGGGAAGTACTCGATTGGGCACAAATGTGGGGAGAAACAATTTCAAATCCTCCTGATTGATGAAAAAGAAGAAGAAGACCCAGATCCAAGTGTGGGGGAGGAGATTATCGAAACTGAAACAGAGAAACCACAGGAGAATGTAGAGCTTTCGCTGAGTTCAGTGGTGGGGATTCAAGGCCCGAAGACAATGAAACTCAAAGGAAGAATCCAAGGTAAGGAATGGATTGTGTTGATTGATAGTGGGGCTTCCCACAATTTTATTAGCTCAAAAGTGGTTGAACAGTTGGGAATACCAGTGGTGAGGACTCAATCCTTCGGAGTCGGAGTTGGTGATAGATACAGTGTGAGATGTGAAGGGGAATGTAGGGACGTGTGCATGGAGTTACAAGGGGTGAATATTATCCAGAATTTTTTCCCGTTCGATATGAGCAGCGCAGACGTGGTACTGGGTATTGCTTGGCTTGAGACCTTGGGCGAAACCATTACGTATTGCCGGAAACAAATTATGAAGTTTACAATGGGACACAAAACAGTCTATCAATCTAGGGATCCCTCTCTTACCAAGACATTGGTTTCCCTCAAGGCAATGATTAAGACACTACAAAGCGAAGGGCAGGGTTGTTTGATCGAATTTGGGCAGCTACAGACTCAGTCTGCAAATGCGGGGAGTATCGATGACAGACTGCTGCAAGTCTTGGGCAAGTTTAGCCAAGTCTTCGAACCACTCTCCGGGTTACCACCCGTCAGGTCCAGAGACCACGCCATTCAGCTAATCCCCGGGACACAACCACCAAACCTCAGAACCTACCGGTACCCTTATTACCAGAAAAATGAGATCGAGCGTTTTGTCAAGGAGATGTTGGCTTCGGGAATTATAAAACCAAGCATCAGTCCGTTTTTCAGCCCTGTTTTATTGGTGAAAAAGAAGGATGGAGGGTGGCAATTCTGTGTCGACTACCGGGCAGTTAATAAAGTGACAATCCCGGATAAATTTCCTATTCCAGCTATTGATGAATTGTTTGATGAGTTAGAAGGGGCAACAGTTTTTTCAAAACTTGATTTGAAATCCGATTATCATCAGATTAGAGTGCGGCCAAAAAACAAACCAAAGACTGCCTTTCCGACACACGAAGGGCACTATGAATTTCTCGTCATGCCTTTCGGCCTTACCAATGCACCTGCAACCTTTCAAGCTATCATGAATGATGTATTCAGACCGTATTTGTGAAAGTTCTTGTTAGTGTTCTTCGACGAAATATTGATTTATAGTAAGGAGATGGATGAACATGCGCAACATTTGAGTATTATTTTGCAGGTGTTATAGGAGAACCAGTTGGTGGTCAATCAGAAAAAGTGTCAGTTCAGGCAACTACAGTTGGAATATCTGGGACATATTGTATCAGCTGAAGGTGTAGCCGTTGATCCCAGTAAAATAGACAGCATCACTAAACGGCCGACACCAAAGGACATCCGGGAACTTAGGGGATTTCTCGGGCTGATAGGTTACTACCGCCGTTTTGTTCGCGATTATGGTAAAGTTGCTCTTCCACTCACTGCCCTGTTGAAAAAGGATTCTTTTGGGTGGAATCCAACAGCTCCACAAGCCTTTGAAGACTTAAAAAGAATCATGACCAGTGTTCCTGTCTTACGGATGCCCAACTTCACTCAAGAGTTTATTATCGAGACCGATGCTTCAAGAAGCGGGTCAGGGGCAGTGTTGATGCAAGAGGGGAGGCCTATTGCATTTCTCAGTTAAGTTTGTCTCTCAACTCCAAACTGAAATCCGCTTATGAGCGGGAATTAATGGCTGTGGTTTTAGCGGTGCAAAAATGGCGACATTACCTCCTGGGCCGACGTTTTGTTATCCGAACAGACCAGCGGAGCCTCCATTTCCCAACGGACCAGAAATTATTAGGTGAAAGTCAGCAAAAGTGGGTTAGCAAACTGTTAGGATTGGATTTCCTCATTCAGTATAAACCAGGACCACAAAATAGAGCAGCAGATGCACTTTCCAGGATGCCAGATACAGTCGAGCATCATGCCATCTCTATGGGTTGTTTTTCTGGGCTAGACAGTTTCGAGGATGCAATCCAGCAAGATGCCAAGCTACGAAAGATCATCCAACAGCTCCTGATTAACCCAAACAGTCATCCTCATTTCAGGTTGGTGGGACGCCATTTGCTGTTCCATAACAGGTTGGTTTTACCTAAGTCCGGGCCTCATATCCACCAAATATTACAAGAATTTCACACTTCACCGATTGGGGGCCATTCTGGATTTTTTCGAACATACAAACGAATCTCGAATGTAGTGTTTTGGCAAGGCATGAAGAAGGATATCAAGGCATTTGTAGCTGCTTGCGGCATTTGTCAACAGAATAAATACGAGGCTTTAAGCCCCACCGGTTTGCTGCAACCCTTACCTATCCCTAACCAGGTGTGGGAGGATATTTCTATGGATTTCATTATGGGGCTGCCCAAGGCCCACGGAGTCGATACTATTCTGGTCGTGGTCAATCGTTTCACCAAATACAGCCATTTTCTCACTCTTAAACACCCGTATACCGCCAAGATGGTAGCAGACTTATTTATCAATAAAGTGGTCAGGTTGCATGGGTTTCCACGCACTATTGTATCCGATAGAGATCGAATTTTCATGAGCAATTTTTGGGCTGAATTATTTAAACAGTCCGGGACCCAGTTGCACATGAGTTCAACCTACCATCCGCAGACGGATGGTCAAACAGAAGTGGTCAACCGTTGCTTAGAGACATACCTTCGGTGCTTCATCAATGGTTGTCCACAGCAGTGGCCAAAATGGGTGCCATGGGCAGAATTCTGGTTCAACACTACTTACCATACTTCTACAGGAATGTGTCCTTTTAAAGCTCTTTATGGCTGCGACCCTCCGGCAGTGCTACGCTATACAGACCATACTTCTCCAATTAAAGAGGTTGACCTACAACTTCGGCATCGAAACCATATTATTGAGTTAAAGGACAATCTTTTAAAGACTCAAAACCGCATGAAAATGTATGTCGATCGCCGTCGCCAAGAGGTAACATTTGAGACAGGTGAATCGGTATATTTGAAGTTACAACCATATCGATTACATTCCTTAGCCCGTCGCTACAACGAGAAGTTGAGCCCACGGTTCTACGGTCCCTTTGTCATCACGGACAAGATTGGAGCAGTGGCATACAAGCTGGCCCTTCCTTCTTCAGCCCGTATCCACAACGTTTTCCATGTTTCACAACTGAAGAAAGCAACGTTTCCGATTCCCAATAGCCAACCTCTACCGGCAGATCTTAATGAGGATCTAACTTTACAATTGGAACCTGAAGCAGTTCTCAAAAAAAGGAAACTGCTGAATGGCCAGTGGGAGGTACTGATTCAGTGGAAGGGGCTGCCTTCCTATGAAAACACGTGGGAAGATGCAGACATTATTCAGCAACAATTTCCTTCCTTTCACCTTGAGGACAAGGTGATTCTCCTTGGGGAGGGTAATGATGAGCAACCAATAAAGATAGTGTACCACAGGAAGCGTGGGGATAGGAAGTAGAGGAACATGGCCAAATATTTGCAAGGTTGGAAGTTAGGATTGCCCCCCACCTCCCCCAACCCATACCCCCTTCACGATTCCGGCTTCCCCCCCCATCCCACCCCCCCCCACCCCCAATGAAGTGGTTGTCAACCCCGGATCTGGGGAACCCCATAATCACCCTTGGCCGCCTGAGAGCAACAATCCGATAGTGCCAAGGAACGCGTGGGGCTAGGACCGCGGACGCGGCACCACCCCTGGCCAACCTATTACAGTGACCCGGTTGGCACAGACTCACGACCACTTTCGTTTTGCGTTCAGTTAAAAGGACAGAAACACGTGAGGTTGGGACAGCATGGCCAGGCTTGGATGGAAGCTTAGGTTGTGAGAATTCAGTTAGAGTAAAGGGTGACAGGAGAGAATAAAAGGAGGGAGGAGTGAAATAGAAAAAGGGCGAGAATTATTAAGTAAAGAAAAGGGAGGCTGCTGACCCTCGAAGTTAGTATTGGGAGGGACTGACCCTCGAAGTCAGTCTTTTGATTTTCTTTTTCAGATGTTATTTTGCATTACTTTTCTGAGTTGTTGCTTACTAAATACTGAGGATAGGAGTGTTGGAATCTAAGTAGTGTCTGGCCAATGTTTTGTTGAGGTTAAACACAGGATCCTTTACTATTTTGGTGAATTTGACTTGTGAGTGCAGATTGTTGTTGGTAGTTTGCTTGAATTGCAGCTCAGGTTCTATCAAGTGTTATCAGAGCCGGATCTGGGTAATGGTCTTGACAAGAATGGATTCAGACTTGATAATGTTGAGAAAGAGGTTACCAGTTGGGAGTTGAAATGGGTACCATCCGGGAGTGTTTGGTGGAGTTACAATCATGGGTACGACGAAAGAATGAAGAAGAGTCGAGTAGAACAGAGGGGCGTTCAACAAAAAATAATCAATCTCACAAACGAGAAAATATAAACGGAGCCAGGGGTCAGGGAGTAGTAACCAAAACCGCAGTGAAATAGGAGGGAGAAAGTTGGAGATGCCAATCTTTCGGAAGACCCTTATGGTGGATCTTTAGAAGTAGAGCCGTATCAACATCAATGGCAACTTCGGAAGAAGGAAAGTGACGGCAGCTACTGCTGCATGGGGAGGAGAAGTATCAATTGGTTCCAGTGGACAGAATCCAAACACCAGCAAGCTCATGGGCTATGTTGAAATTCACTACTTCAGAGATTCAAAGGATCCCAAGAACTCAACCCCTATGAATCCCTAATGGCGATGAAGCAAACTGGGTCAGTGGTAGATTTCCGTCGTCAATTTGAAGCAGTAGCAGCTCTGTGGTAGGAGAGAAAGAGAGATCCTACAAGCTGCGTTTATAAATGGGCTAAAAAACAGAAATTAGAGCTGAGGTTAGGTTGGCCCAACCAAACTCTTTAATTCAGTATATTGAACTGGCCCAAAGAAATGAAGAAAAAAACCAAGCCTTAGAAGAGGCCCAAGTGGGGGTAAACGGGTTTCACGACACATGGGCCTGGGTTTTTCATATGGATCCAGGAGTTAAACCCATTTTGATAACCATAACCGACCCAGTTCAATATTAGCCCAAAATTTCCAATTCGACAGTTTCGACAGAATCCCTAAAAGCTAACCCAAATACTTTCTCCCATGTACTCAACGGCCACTGGAATCTTCCATGCAAGGGTCGAGCGCGAACTCTTACCCACGCGAAACAACGACAACGAGCTCCAGGCCATTCGAACGACACGGGTTTTCACGACGAGACTTACCTTTTCTTCGGATGACAGATGCGAGATCCAGAAGAAGCGAGAGAAGGAATATGTTAAGTGTGATGGGAAATACTCGATTGGGCACAAATGTGGGGAGAACAATTTCAAATCCTCGATTGATGAAAAAGAAAAGAAAAAGACCCAGATCCAAGTGTGGGGAGGAGATTATCGAAACTGAAAACGAGAAACCACAGGAGAATGTAGAGCTTTCGCTGAGTTCAGTGGTGGGGATTCAAGGCCCGAAGACAATGAAACTCAAAGGAAGAATCCAAGGTAAGGAATGGATTGTGTTGATTGATAGTGGGGCTTCCCACCCAATTTTATTAGCTCAAAAGTGGTTGAACATGGGAATACCAGTGGTGAGGACTCAATCCTTCGGAGTCGGAGTTGGTGATAGATACAGGTGGAGATGTGAAGGGGAGTGTAGGGAGTGTGCTGGAGTTACAAGGGGTGAATATATCCAGAATTTTTTCCCGTTCGATATGAGCAGGCAGACGTGGTACTGGGTATGTGCTGGCTTGAGACCTTGGGCGAAACCATTACGTATTGCCGGAAAAAAATTATGAAGTTTACAATGGGACACAAAACAGTCTATCAATCTAGGGATCCTCTCTACCAAGACATTGGTTTCCCTCAAGGCAATGAATTAAGACACTACAAAGCGAAGGGCAGGGTGTTTGATCGAATTTGGGCAGCTAAGACTCAGTCTGCAAAGCGGGAGTAGCGATGACAGACTGCTGCAAGTCTTGGGCAAGTTAGCCAAGTCTTCGAACCACTCTCCGGTTACCCACGCAGGTCCAGAGACCACGCCATTCAGCTAATCCCGGGACACAACCACCAAACCTCAGAAGAACTACGGTACCCTTATTACCAGAAAAATGAGAATCGCGTTTTGTCAAGGAGATGTTGGCTTCGGGAATTATAAAACCAAGCATCAGTCCGTTTTCAGTGTGTTTATTGGTGAAAAAGAGGATGGAGGGTGGCATTCTGTGTGAACCCGGGCAGTTATAATAAAGGGACATCCCGGATAAATTTCCTATTCCAGACTATGAGGAATTGTTTGATGAGTTAGAGGGGGGCAAACATGGTTTTTTGAAAAACTTGATTTTGACAAATCGATTAATCATTGCAGGGAATTAGATGTGCGGGCCACAAACCCAATCGTCAATTTATATCCCCTTTCTTTTCTCATCTTCATCCTCTTTCTTCCTTTCTTCGCTCTTGTTTCTCCTACCTATGCAGCATCAGAGATTCACACAATTTGGCATTAAAATCCCACAAGTACTATTTTGGCTCCAAATTTCCCGTCTAAATGCCACATAATTGCCATACTACCAAAGTCCTTTCTTTATAAATAATAGAACTTGTACTCACACACGTGTGTGGAGGGAAAGGAAGAGAAACACATACAGAAAAGCATAGTGTGTTCTTAATCCATATTTAATTCCTAAGAAACCTAGAAACACTCTATCCACAATAAAAATAAAATTAAGTTAAGCTGCAACACAACAACAAAAACAATAGAATGGTTGTAAACATAATGACAAATAACACAATGCAGAACAAATTCCATTTCCCCACCTTAGTCAATAAATAATCACCACAAGGAAAGAACAAGAAGAAACAAAGTAGAAGTCAGATATATTGAACAACTAGGAACTGACCTGTTGTATCATTAACAAACAGCAACAGGATATGGAATTAAAGGATGCAGAAATAATTTACCAGTGTTTATCTAGCGCAATTAACATTACAGACATGTCCTCTCACCTTCTTATCAAGTGATATTGCCTTGCTGCAGTCTTCTTCTGCTTGTTGAAAGCTGTATAAAAAAAGAAGAAACAAAAGGGAAGATGATCATACTGTCATTTGGCAGAGCAGGTCCCTGTAGTTGAAAAATTGCAATAGATCTATGAAAATAATTTCAACATTTTAGAAAATTATCATACCATCCTAGTTCTAAGTAAGCTGCCGCCCGGTTGCAATAGTAAGTTGCATTTGTCCCATTGATTTTAATAGCTTCACTGTAGTAACTCACAGCCTTATTCCACTGCCTTCCCTTGAATGCGGCATTTCCCTGTACCAAATTTCTCAGCAATCAGTAAGAACAATGACCAAAAACGAATATAATGAGGCATTTCCATTCATCTTACATGAATGAGTATATTTTTGATAGAATAGACAAAAAATCAAAAGAATAATAACCAAATGATTGGACAAAAACTAACTATAAGCTGATGTCTAATAAGCAGCACCTTTTCTATAGCCTGATCTAAAGTCCAGAAAGACAGATGATAAGCATTCGTGAAGGTTCCCATGAATACAACTGTTAGTTAAATAAAATATATACTAATATGTCAAGAAGAATAGAGCAAAAAACTAATAGTATCTATATCATAGCTATTTGAACCAAGTCATATATCAAACCAGCTTGACACTCTTTCACATCCCAAAAATCACTCATTATTGAGTCTGTGCCAAATTTCAAAGCAATTTTCTTTCAATGTATAAAATCAACAGGGCCATGAGAAAGCTGATCTCCAGTTTATTGCAAAGTCTAGTCGTGACAATAAGCATCATTTAGCTGTTGCAATCCACTATGAAAGAATGCCCATGACAACATTGTATAGCAGTGATGCAAATCTATTGTCTTATCTCAATTGAGAAAAAATGGAACTAGTCTTATTTCAAACAAAATATGTTCAAGATGTATTGTCTGAATCAAGGATATTGGGTTGCAAACCTGCTGAGATACCAATGGACCCATATTTGAATCAAGATGATGAATAAGTCGCAAATATGATGACAAGAAGAGCAATAGAAGTCTCAAGGGAAAGCTTACTTATTTGACTGAAACTAGACTGGATATCTCTTATACAGTTAGAGCATTAGTCAATATATGCAAAATCATAAGCAAACTTGCAGGGCTGAATGCAGAATTCTGAGATATCTCAAACAAACATTTGGAGCAGGAATTCATTAGAAATTTGGTCATATTGTGTGTTATTGTGATGCTGATTGGGTAGATTCCAAAGCTTACAAAGCCTCTATGAGTGGCTACTGTACATTTCCTGGTGGCAACTTGGTGACTTGGGGGAGTAACAAACAAAATGGTGCATCAACTTAAGAAGCATACTGTGTGTTCATGGCTCACACTACCTATAAACTAAAGTGACTGTATAATATATTAATGGAGTTGAGAATTGACGTTAAAAATGCCTTCTGTTACGTACAATGACACCCAAACAACAATTGGTATAGTTAGTAATCCAGTGTTCCTTGAACACACTAAACACATGAAAGTAGATCGACACATTTCCTGAGGTTATTATAGCAAATGGCAGGAAAAGTTGTTACGCCTTACATCAAATCAGACAATCAAGTTAGGGACATTTTCATGAACATTTTGCATAAGGGGATATTTTTTCATATTTGTTCCAAAACTACGCATTGAGAATATCCATGCCCCATTAACATGTAAAAAGAGAGAGAAAGACCCTCAAAGTTGTATAATGATTCAATAAATGGAAACAGAAGTAGAACTAGCATAACAACAATCAGCTAAATGACACTTGAGCTGTGTCTATTTAACAAGTAAATAAAAGTTGTCTATCACTTTGTTAGAAATTGAATTTGTCCCACATCGCCCCAATAGTGGGCTGTTATGGTGTATATAAGTGATTGAGCTCCCTCCTCCCTTGAGCTAGTTTTTGAGAGTGAGTTCTACCCAAGCCCACTTTATCATAGTATTAGAGCCACATTTGTTTCTCTCCCCTCTTTGGTTGGGGCAATGATGGGTTTGGAACCCCGGTCTTGCACGCCGAGCATGAGGGAGGGTGCTAGAAGTTGAATTTGTCCCATATCGCCCCAATAGTGGGCTGTTATGATGTGTATAAGTGATTGGGCTCCCTTCTCCCTTGAGCTAGCTTTTGGGAGTGAGTTCTACCCAAGCCAACTTTATCACACTTACGAAGTATTATCAATTCCAAAGAACATGTGGCATTCACAAGGATCCAAAGCCTTATTAAGAACAAGCAAATCCACAACATGTTTGCAAAAGCAAACATTTGATGTTTGTAATTGAGAATCTGTAGCAATAGAAATAATATTTTCCATGGTAGTAGTGTTTCAATTATTTAAGTTAGCTTTCTAACAAGTTCAACCTCTTCTAACATGGCAAGCATTAATATTTGGAAGATCTACAATTCATGCCTCATAATATGTAATAAGTATCATATCTCAACATCTATGAATTTCTGGATGAGTACATTAGTGGATGAAGCACAATGTGAAGATATGTAATAATTCATAACTTAAAATAACAATGCAAGAGGCTGGGAAGTGGAAGCTCAAAGGACCAGAGCATGCAATTTAGTGCAGAGCCTTACACGAGAATGGTTGAAGAACAATTCAAAGAGAATGAGAGAGACAGAAGTGGACAACCAATTAAAATTTATATCCATCTAGGCAGATGATAAATTAAAGAGGATAGTTTTCGAAGTAATGAAATAGGATACCATTCTACTTAACAAGTAAAACTTTACTGAAGAACATTCAATTATACGTGAAATTGAACTCATTAAACAATAAAAACTTTGATAATAAATAAACTTATCATTTGCAAAGGAGGCCACTCAAAGGTAATACGAAAGTAAATGCTCCAACTAACAATGAAAAAGGGGCAAACTCGTGAACTGATGCATGATATGATGGAAAATAGTAGTAGCACATGAAAATTGGACAATGGTACACATTGTTAATATAAAGGACATGTACACCAAAACGTTTTCTATCAATGAAGCATTAGTGTTTACAGTAACATAATGAGATGAACCTACCTTTTCTTTCAAGAACTCAGAAGCATCCATGTTACCATTCGTGTCTGGCAAAGGCACTGAATTAGATGCAATGTTGGCTTGCTCTTGAAGGGAATCGTACATATCCAAGACCGTATCCAGAAGAAATTTATCAGCTCCATGGTACGAGATAAATGAAATAGAGATTGGATGCTGATCATGCTTTCCTAATGGAATGGCAACCTGGTAATAGCAGGGTCAAATTAAATACAACCAGAACATAGACAATAAGACAAGGGCATAGAAATTATACTAATGAAAGTTGCAGCATAGTGATGAAGAGTTCACCTGACAACAACCAGACATACTTGCAATACTTGATAGCACGCATGCTCTACTATGAAACTCAGTAGAATACCCTTTCTTTGTATTAAGCTTTAATGGATGATCTGCAACTGCGGGAATCACTAATATTCCATCATCCTAGAATAAAAAAAAATAAGATAATGAGATGGTGAAATGTATGACCGAAGCAACACACTTCAATCTAGTAAGATAGCTTTCTTTATGTCGCTCATCACAATGATGTAACGAGCCCCTAAGATATAACAAGTCAGCTTATTAACATTCTAAACATCCTCAATTTTTACCAAATCAGAAGTGAGATGCTGTAAAACTGTCCATAAGAAAAATAACAGGGGCCTTCCAGAAAATAAAGAAGAGGGATATTTTGTCTCCTTTTTCCATTTTGGATAAGGTTACGAGGTAAAGATCATTTTGTTAACCAACAAACAGGTGCTATCAACAAAACAAAGCAAGTTCAACTTCTGGCAGGAACAAAAATGAACTTGCCTAGCCAAATGGAACAAGTTCAAGAAATCTGTTTTCTGATAGATAAAAAACCTCCAAACACCTAAGCCAGCAAATGACCTGATGCAAAAACTTTTTTCTCAATAATCCAACTCGGCTACATATACATTCTGTAAAGTAGAAACTAAACTAATCATTTCCTTCACTAGATCAAACTACAAACTAGTCAATGAAAAACTTCACATTGGGGAACTAAATGATAGAAACGAGAAAGAAAGACAAATATACTACCCAAGCAGGTCAACAAAAGATAAATATGAACCAGAAGAATGCAAAAGGGAGGGGCTTCTAAAATATCATCAATTAACACATCATAACACAACCATACAAAACATGAATCCAACAAGTCAAGAGATGATAAGGTGGCATCCTTTATTGTTACTCTGTTTATGTTCTTAAAAAAAGAATTCACAAATGTGAATAAGAAATTTGAATTAGGAATGTTAGGATNCGGTTGAAGAAGATGATAATATCCACGCAGGATCTCCACTAAGATTTGAATGTTTGGAGCTTACTTGCAAGGCTGGTTCTAGTGATAACCAAATTAACGAAATCGACTGCCAGGATAAGATGCCTTCACCAGATACTGAAGCCCTCAAACATCACATAGACTTGACTATTGATGACATATGTGGGGCTACTCTCCAAACTTTTATTGTAGGCCGTAGGTTTAGTGATGAAAAGGGGATAAATCTTGGAAATAGCATCTCTCTCTTAAGAGAACCCCATAATCTTAAGGATCCCTATGCTATCAAGGTTCATATTTATTTGTCTGTGCATATGAATTTGTTTCTTAAATATGTATATATTCATTCTAAAGGTACTGCTTTTCCTTTCGGGGCAGGTTCTTTCTGCAGGTTCTGGATGCTGTAAAGTTCTTGGTTATCTTCCTCGAGAGTTATCTCAATATTTGTCTCCTCTAATTGAGAAGTCCTGCCTGAGTTTTGAGGTGATACAACTCCTGAGTAGGAAAGACTCATATTAGCTAACTTTGTAAGAATTTTGTTTTTCTGTTTATTCTAATTTGTATGTAAGCATGTCTTTTGTAAAAATGAGGAAAATATTTCTGCGGTAACAGAAGAGACAGGTTTCTTTGTCATTTGTGCAGTTAACTTCCATTCTAGCCAAGTGTGATTTAATCTATTGGGCGGAAATGTTGTGGAAAAGTAAAGAGGATTCCTTGTTTAACCTTGCTGGGTTTTTATTCCTGTTTTCAAGGACTATTAAAGAGAAATAGAGCCTACATATACTCCTCAAATCATTACTTCTGAAAAAATCAAATCAGACAAAAGTCTAGTATTTGCACTCAGTCTTCAAAAGATATAAGCACTATGCAAAAATTTTCAATGACATACGAATAAACTGTTGCATGATTTTACTGTACAATTATCTTATTTTCTACAAGTTCTAAACCTATTTGTACAAAAGAATGCTTAGTTGCAATAACCAGAATATACTTGAAACTTATAAAAGCCTAATGTTTAGATGGAACTGATAGACTTTGTATTTGGATGTTTTGGTGATCTTCATGAACTACTGTTTTAACTGTTAAGTACACAGACACATGACTAAGCTTACCATTTTTGTAGATCATTTCCAGAATATGTCTGCATGCAATCACACATGTGATTTTAGTTCTAAATGACAGTTACATAAATTCCTTTGCAAGTTTATTATATTTTTCTAACTTTGCTGCGAATTCTGCACCAAATATGTAAGCTAATTTGCAGCACTAATCTAGTGTAAATAAATACTTGTAAAACAAAATTAGGTATTTTAAAACTGTTAATTGAATAGTGTTAAATAGTTAGGTACTTCGTTGTTTAAGGAAAATTGTCATCAATGTCTTTAGTGGTTAGTTAAACTGGCTCCTGTTACATTTGAGAACTACAGGCGACCTTCTTGACCTTATATGTTTGATTGTACCTGTATTTTACTTTCAATTGTATCTGCTTCAATCCTTTGACTGTAGTTTTTTGGATATTCTGATGCCAAATAATTGCAGTTTGAATTGTGTATTGGAGCTGGGAAAATTATCATTCTTTACTTAGCAGTGAAATACACTATGATTGCAGGGTTATGTGACTTCAGCACCCAAACATTCTCTTGATGTTGTTCCAATTAAGATTACATGTCACAAGATTATATCAGATTGTGAAATAGATGATGATATTGAATTTTCCAAATGTCTGTGGAAAAGGGTTCTACATGTGGTTGAATCTGCAAAGAAATATCCAACGAGTACAATAAAGTATCAGCATAACTTCAATCTGTTAATACAAGAAGTACTAAGAAGTAATTCTCACCTTTTCACCGATAATGAGAGAGTTTTCATGGGTATTGATCCAGCACTAGCTTTCATTCTTTCTTCTGTCGGCATATATTTTCAGTTGGATTGTGATATTTATCTCCATTTTTTATTGTCAGAATCATTCTCCACACTGTCTGTGGATAGTCAGAGGCTTTTCATTCGGCTTTATACACGGAAAGGTCTTTTCACTACGAGATTACGTTTTTACTGTACTTTGGTGTTAGCTTTACTCATCTGCTCATTTATCTTATATATTATGTTACTCTTCCACAAACTTATGTGTTGCCTAAATTTATTTCTGTAATCTGGAGATAGAAATTGCCTAAGCTCATAGACTGGTTCAGTTTTATGTTAAGTCACAGAAACCAGTAACAACAGCCAAATAATTAAAAGTTTTTGGGACGTTGTTCACTCTGTTGATTTGTACTTATGCTATGGTTTTTGCAAAACATAGTACTGATGTAGGACTGATTCTACACAAAATCAAAGCTAGGAAGAAAGGAAGGAGAGTTGATGAGAAAATAAGAGGAGAACATGAGAAACAAAGAGAAAGGGGGAGAAACCAATAAGACACTTTGTGTAGGCCAAGTCCTAACCCTAGTCTTACTCGTATAAGAAAATAACACAAATCTAGTTAGAAAAATAAGTATTATTTAATAAGACATGAATACCCTAATTCTTAAAAGTAAAAATATTTTCTGACATAACAACTAAAGTTAATATTTTGATACAATTAAGTATTGCACAAGATTGCTTCCTAGTGTAGCCTGCCATTATTCATGACCTTCCATTTAGAATTTTGCTAATTAGCTTATTTAACAAATACTATTTTGTGTCATTTACATCTTAGATGACAGCAAATTTGCTGCTAAGATTTTCAAACAAATGTATGCTAAAGTGATACTTGTCATATTTTTCGTTTCAGATCTGTAATAATCTTTGCAGATTGCAAATTGAGGACTTACCGGTAACTTTATTAAAATTTGGGATAGTGCACATGGCATTTCATTGATACTTGGATAGTTTATTGTTTTGTTTTACATTCTGATGCTATAGTAATACAGTGTACGGATATGTATTTGCCAAGATAAGCTGAGTGTAATCTTAGGCTTTTCTTGGGTGACTTCTCTTTTAGGGCCATGGTTCCGATTGGCAAGTATTTCTTATCGTGAAGTGTTGGATTCTCAAGAAGCAGTTAAGGAGCTCTGTGGTAATTGAGTACTATTAGTTATATTTTCAAATTCAAAGGTAATGGGTTCTCTAAAGAAAACTTGTATTTGTTGTCAAATTGCAGCTAATGGCTATATATGCTGCTTTGAAGACAAAAATGAACTACATGATGACATGAAGGAGATTTGCAATTTGCTCACTATCTCTGAGCTGCGTGAAATTTTGTCTGTGCTTAAAAAGGTTTGGTTTTGCTGTTATTAGTAAGTGATTTTATTTCCAGAAATGTTAATTCTTTTACTTTTTGTAATCTTCACATCTGTATTCATAAGGGAAGATAAAAACAGAAATGATAAAACATAATGATCAAGGGTAGAAATATGTATATAATGATAAACTATGATGATCAATGGGAGAAACTGAGTTTTTGTATATTATGTAATATTTTAAATAATGCAGGGGGTGGATGTAGTGAGGTAGATCAAGGCTGTGAATTGCCATGCATGGGTTCTATCCTGTCTTTCAGCTAAAGCCCATAACTAATGAATAGTTATAACTAAAAAAGCATATAGTTCATCTAGATTAAAAAGCAAAATAAAGTGACCAGTCTCTATCGGTTTGGTAGTTTTCTTGCCCACTCTGACAAGGAAGGTTTTGTTGTGAAACAATACTGGAGGTTTTTGCTTCTTTTCCGAACCAAGGCGTTCGGCAATTATTATGCCAACTTGAGGGGAAGAGGCAAATGAAATTTTAAACTCTGTTTTTCAGTTGGTAATTTCCATTGAAGACCTCAATAGTCCAGGTGCTGCCAAAGTGAGTATTTTGGTAGAGTTAGTACATGTCATTTACAACCTCCATTTTTTTTCCCTGACCTCCCACCTCGTTGAATAGATAAGGAATAAAAGCATCCCATGTACCTAATGTTCCATCACCTTTTTTGATAGGTTTCAAGAGTGATTCTCAACATAACTAAAATACTTTTTAGTAGTAAACTTCTTGGTGTAATGGCTATATGATAGTTGTGTTGTTCTGTATTTCTTCATTAGTCTGCTGATGAGTCTATGCAATTTGCTTGTATTGAGGCTTCAGAATTGCATTCGTGGTTCAAGAAAGCAGGATCTTATTGCATTT